GCGGTTGCACATCGATAACGATGGCAAAAGATCCAGGTGAGCTGCGAGCTTACAGATCGCAGCACGCAGTGAGCGGCGCAGATTCTGCAGCGTCGAGCAGGGCTCATAACCTGTTGAACCCGGGGGGCGAAGGCCTCTCCCACGGGTGGCAACGACAGCGGATAGCCTGCAACTCACCTAGAAGGGTTGTTGGTTGTAAGAGGCTTGTTAGAGCGATGAGAGGAGATGTTCGAGTGAACTGAACTGTAGATTGGGGGTACAGAGGTCCCCTATATATACTACTGTACATCTGTGGCTACGTAGTACTATACAGTACATTCCCAGGATGCACAGTCGCACAGAGAAGCAGTGCGTACACAGCGAAGCTGTGTGTGTACCACATGAGTAGTACAGCCTCGGTTATTGCAGTAACCGGCTGTGCCGTTCCATATCTGTGTTAGGCAAGCTGTGTAAACCAGCGCCTGTTCAACAACCCGTGTCCTCATCAATCAGTTTTCTCCGTTGTTAACTTGCTCATGATGTTCCTAGCACCCGTGAGTAGCACCCCTTTCTATCTAAGAGTGATCGGAAGCTGACGGCGTTCCAAATAGAGAGAGCTCAGCTTCTTGCTGCAGGAGTGCGTCTTCTGGGCAAGAACCCGCCACAGCGTGTCGATTCTCCGCTCATCGCTCTACATAGGTCGTTGCGAACTGTGCATAGTGCGCTATGCACTCGTGTGCTGCTGAACCTTAGGAAGGCCGCTGCGAGCACGTCGTATCTGGGAGTTGGCGAATCTACGGTGAACAGTATGGGTTTCGAGTCGCATCCTATGTTTGCCTCCCCTGGTGAGGAGGAGTTCGAGATGGAGATGGAGATTGCAGCGTAGAAATTTGTGCGAATACCTACTACGAGTACAGGGTGAGAGAAATAATCGTCAAGTGTTGGTCTGCAGGACTGGCTAGGCGACAGGACAATTTGTCGGTCGAGTATGCCGATGCACCTCTGCCATTGGGGCGCTTCTGTCGCATCTGGTACGCGTCACGTTCAAACACTTCTCTTTCTTACCATGAGCATCATCAACATTCATCAGTTCTCTCCTTCGCCTGCCCATACATCGATTTATATCATTCCTGATCGTTGCAGCATACTTCGGTGACGGTCGACAGAGGTCCGGATAGCCTTGACATTGATTCAAATATCTGTCATACGGCCGACCCAGACGCGCGCCATCTTCAATAAGTCGGCTGTTCAAGCTCAAGTCATGTCCGCCAGTGACGAGAAAGCCGCCTATGTGATGTCTTTCCTCCGATAGACTTCGAGCAAGTCGTGATATCTTGCTTGCTACAACAGTTGAAGACACTGCTCCATTCCCCCTGCCATACACTTTACTGGCTTAGATCCGTAACACTGTAAGTATGCAGTGCCTCGCCGCCCCCGTCCGAGTCCGCTTCTGCGCTCAGTTGTTGCCCAAATGCAATGCTTGTCACCACAGGGGACTCGTAAACGCTGGTTGGCAGCGCGCTCCCGGCAGCCTCCCGGAGATTCAGCAGTACACGGCTGCACAAGGCACTATGTATCACTCGCAATGGTCTGTAGGAGATATGAGAACAATATCAAGATCAAAACGTGACCTGGGGAGCATGGCCAATGGAGGATGAGAAGAGTGCGAGCATACTGACACCTGCATTGCATACGAGAGAGGTTGCTGTGAATATTGATTAGTGGTTTCTGAGAGCGCATGACAGGCACATCACAACCGCTTATTAACGAAGAAGTGGACTGACCGGAGCCAAAAACATCATGAGCAAGTTTACAATGGATAGCACTGGGATTTTTAGCTTGTCAATACTATATTGCCTTGCAATCATATGGGGCATTGAATACCAAGCACCGCTGCCCAGAAACATGTTCCTACAGCTGACCTGAGTAAGGAAGTCTCGCCTACAAGAATTCAATATACTGACCGTCTCGATACATAGTCAAGTGTATTACACTTGAGAAAGATCCTTCGACTAGTAAAGAAACCATTCTTATGCTGAGCGGCCCATGAAAACCTAGAAACTGACCGATTGAGAGCTTACCAGTCACTGGATCAACGTATCTCTTGAGGATAGTGAGTATCACCACCACTGTCGGGTGGCGTCAGCTTAGCATCACAAAATAATCGACTCGTAGCTCACTGGTTTCGCCACAAATTAGATAGGTAAAGGCGGGCCAGACATCTATGTCATGGATCTCGGGCAGGCAACCAAGAAGTCTCGTCACTTCCTGTTCTGACTGGACTGTGATTCAAGGCTATTCAGCTACTGGCCGTGTAAGAAGCGAACACCTTACAGGTGTTCTGTTGAAGCATCTCGTATATAACATAGCATGAATGTGGCTTATAGCAGCCATAGTATGAGACACTGAGCGATGGGCGAAAGTTGATGACTCACAATCATCATGCTCACAATGAATGTGGCGCTATACAAGTATAGCCTATCGAAACCCCATAACGCATACGTCCTGACGAGGAGAATTGCTATTGGTGAAAGACAACATCCATGAGTAAAGCACGAAAAGTGAAACAGTTTCTCACTCACTTTCCGATACAAGTGTTCCAGCAAAGTACGAATCTGGTCCTGTAAATAAAGGAGGTGGAGACCAATCTCGGTTACAGATGAACACGTACACGTCACTCCTTGGAAGACAGCTCGACACCTCTGAAGAACCTGTCTATCAGAGATGAAAGCAGAGCCGGTGCACATAGTCTTGTACCTCTGGTTCTCCTGGAAGTTGGTCCACTATGGCCATCATGAGAACACTGGTCGATTTAGGGGAAATACAGCGACTACGTACCTAATGCCATAAGTGTGATGTCGATCACTGGGGAATATTTGTTGACCAGGAATACAACCTTCATGACGCTCCAATTGGTGGTCCAAATTAATGAGACCTATGTTGCATTGCGGAGTCTCAGCATGCAAATTCAAAGATGTGCTCCGAATCCTACTTCTTCCGGAAAAGTAGACACTATTTCCAATATCTGTCTTGCTTTGAGTTATCAGGCTCATATGATAGACGACATTTCGACGCACCAAATATACCATGGTTGCAACTAGAGGCCTCTAAGAACAGTTATTGCATACTTCGACCAAGCACAACGCACCTGATATGTACTACTCACGGTGAGACATCAATATTAAAAAAAGTAGAAGGAATAGCGCACCTTGGCCACTTGATAGAGGTAGAGATCGTCAACTGATGGTAAAATCCCAGGTTGCGGAAGAGGCACGTTCATTGTAATTCTTCTCCGTTGAGTATGGGTGGCTCAGAGGCTCAGAGGCAGACGTGGGTAGTGCGACGGTTCCATCCAAGCTACCACGACATTTAAATCCCAGGGATAGACGACGAGAATCCGGATCGGAACTGAAAACCCGAGACTGAACTTCACCACGATGCTTGAAGCCTGCATGGAACGTCTGCGACGCATGTAGTTCTGATCAACATCGAAGCAGTGGTCCGAAATACCGCTACTTCAACAGGTGTCCGTGGATGTGATATATTTCGATTCATGTGCACTTCTGGATTTCCTTACTGAGACACCCAGCGTAAGAACTGTCATGCCTGTCCAACCTTATGCTCGAGCAATTGTTAAGTTAACCAAAGCAGATCAACAGTAGTAGTGCGAATGAACCCGGAAGACCTTCGCATGTTGTCACTGCGATTGTGAAGCGGTGCGTTGACATCAGCGCGACGAGTACAATGAGGATGGATTTCAGATACACGGTTATTGTGGAAGGTAGTGGTTGAGAACAGAATGGAAGTAGTACGTCTAGGTTTCCCCCGAAATGATACACGTTGACAGGCTGCAGGGAAGCACTATATTAAGCCCGGCGTAATCATACGCCCTTCGACTTCAGGGGATAAGGGAGTATCGCCGAGATCAATGGAACCAGGAGTAATCGGATCAAGAAAGCACAGATGCGAACTCCATCGAGCCCCCCAACAATGAGCGGGGTTTGTGTTTGGCGTGCCCTACTGCATCGGATCCTTGCTAAACATCACTCTCCTCAGTATACTATCCACCACAGAGGGCAAACATAGGAAGCAACTAAAGAGCCATAGTCGTCCCAATCGTGAGTTCGCCAGCTTGTGTATTTGATGCGCCCGCCGCCGCTTTTCTGAGGTCGAGTAACACGCGAGTACACAGCGCGCTATGCGCAGTGCGTCAGAATCTACTCAGGCAGAAGGCATCTCCGTCTCCCATACCTATGGCGGGTTAGATTATGGGGTCATAACGCTGGCAGATGCGAGCCGTTGAGTGCAAGTTGACCTCGTTTCTGTCGCATTTTGTGGGCACTTCTCTTTCTCGTACCACATCAAGCACGTGCACCTGTGTCCGATCGAAGGCGCCTATACATGGATCCTGCCTCGGTGGCGCGCGGCATATAGGTTAAGTACTACTCTACCCCGAAGGTCTCTGCCTGGCTACTGGCGTTCCACGGTACATGCATCCACTGCGCCAAGTCAAATCGGGTGTACAGCACCGGCGGCGACCCTTACCAGTCTCATACCCACTGTGCCTGGAACGCGGTGCGGTACGAATCTATATCCGCATGTCTGCATGCTTCCCATCTTCTCTCTGTCTTTGTGGCTGCACTCTATCATAGCATCTTGCACCCAAGTGCTCGCTGTGAGGGCCTCTATCTTAACAGGCACCTCTCGAGAGCGCTCCTCATTCCTGACCTTCTAGATGTCGTGCCGGGCCATTCAGTTGTCTGGACGTTCCATTCCTCTTATGACATGGCTTCCGACCTTGTAAGCACTTTAAGCTTCGCGTCTTCCCTGGACTCTATTCATCCTAACCCCCTAACGAACACCTGCCGCTTTCCGTAATCCGCCTCACCCCGGATACAACGAGGGACTAGCGACATGTCTCGAGTGTTCTCACATACCAGTGCTAACCTCACTATTTCGGACGGTGTTGAACTCGCTTCGCTGATCACTCAGGCAGGAGATTTATCCTTCTATCAGATACATAAGGTGCCACTGCTATGGCGGTATCTTGATTGATTCGCGCGTGTTTCGCTGACATTCTCAACTGCCAGCACATCCAGAGTAGGCCCGTTAGCATGATCTCCCTGTCAGTTTGCGCACTGAGACACCATACGCAGCTGGTGCTATTACATGTTGCGTAAGTAGAGGTGGTCAACGTGCTCCATAGGATGTGCCGAACTAGTTTCAGTTACTCGAGATTGTAGCCACTCTCCCGGATGAGGTGCGTTGATCAGGATGTCCTGGGAGGTGGCGCAATACTTGATGAGTAACGTTTTGTTAGGTTATGTATATGTGGCCATCGGATTGGAGCCTTATGAAGGTGGTTTATCTGTTCAACAAATACTCCCCTTTAATCGACATAGTCTTGCTGGTCCTAGGTGCGTTGCATATGCCTCACGTTGAATTCATTCGGCTGAAACTTGCTCAGTGGATATAGTATCCCGTGATCCTAGTGTTGGTTCCTTAGGTTCGTTGTGTTTCTGTCCACTTATCACACGATTTTCAGGCATGTGCACTGCAGTTTAAACTACTGACATGTGAGTGAATGCATATGACTAGGACGTTCATACGTTGACATAGTGCTGAATAGATTGGTTCATCATCGGCACACTGTGCTCGGAATGTGAGTGTTGGAGACGGAGTCCGATGCGGAGAGCTAAATAAAGCTATTATAGTCATTCTCATCGCTCGAACATACGCCCTCTGGCATTCTAGTCAAAGTCAGTCTTGAGTTGTCGACTACGTATGCACTGTCGACGTACCAGCAATCGCACCATCTCCTCACCGTACCTTCATTTGATGGTTCGAGTCCGCCCCGTCCTTCCTCGCCGCTCGCTCCTGTACATTCCCGCCTGGGCCGCCCCACTGTTTTCTCTCATGCGCACACCCTTCATCCCTGACATAAGGATTCGGCTCATGCACGTCTGCCTGCGTTCCGCGTATCGGCCCTGCGGGAGCCGTCATGATTGGGTGCGTCATCGAGCGCTTTGACGCGAGCATGGACGAGGTGTCGATTGTGCCGGGGGGCTGGTCGATATCAGCCTGAGCTGCAGCCGGTCGTTCTGTCCATGATGCGTGGGAGGTTGATGGAGTGTCCATTCCTTATGCTGCCGTCTCACAGAACAGAAGACGGGTCAGTCTGATCCAGATACATTGACACCCGTGGAACGGTGGGAGAGAAAACGGGAACATACCTCGACGGAGATGCTCCTGAAGTCCACGAGACCAAGGTGGTCGCAGAACGAGCTGATCGCCACGTTGATCGTGACGTGCAATTGAAGACTGCTGGATAACCAAGTTCTCGGGGTACACGTCTGTGGAGATGCCGTGAGCGACATGGCCGATGACCAGAACGCATTACATCCACGCACGGTGTGGGTGAAGTAGAGGGATAGGCAGATCCGCATGTCGGACACAGAGAACGCGGAGAAGGTATGGATGTGCGGGCACTCACCGATGTCGATGTATCGCTGACTCTGGTCAATCCTCTCCAGGACGTTGGAGTGGGGAGGCTTGAGCAGTATGGTGCGCAGCAGGAGTGTGGATGGAGACGTGTGTTGAAGGGTCGGGGACGTCGTCTTGTGCGCCGCAGAGGTATTGACTGCTAGCAGCTGACCTACGACGCTCCCTTCTTCAGCAAGCGCTACATGAATGATTTGTGTAAGACGTACCTCGCAGCCACCAACTCTCAACCTCTCGATGATACTTTCCACGCTTGAACAGCCGGTGCCAAGCTGAACGCGATCACGACGGTCGAAGAGGACGTCTCTCGAGGTCCTCGAGCCGGTCTTGATCTGCCTGAAGGCATCCCATGCCTTATAGCATCCTGCCTTCCGTTAGCAGGTAAAGACTGATGACAGAAGGCGGTTGTGCGATTGAGGACGGCGAAGAGCTGGTGCTTTCCACCGCGATCGAAGGTGTTCTGGTCTTAGAGAGAATAGGGACACTGGCGGAAACATGACAATCGTGACACTGAGAATTGACAGGCGAGTCAACAGCGGGCACAGAGAGATGTCATCCAAATCGGTCATGTTACGATCCGTGTGCTGCCACTGTAGTCTGTGCGCGAGTCGCGACTGCCGACGCGTTGCGTATGCGGAGCGAAGGTCTGGCAGGCGATTGAGAGCGGTGAAATGGCTCCAGCCTTCATCGCGCGTTTGCCCTGAGGGGGGAATACACCCAGGTTCTATCAATGGCACTGGGCTGCGTAGGATTGGAGGGCGAGCTTAGAGGCAAGAGGCCGTAATCGACGTCGACGAACTCGCTCAGACGCTCGTAATCGGCGGCTCGCTTTGGGCGCTTAAAACAGTCGCCTTCAACTATCCGCTGCTTTCAAAAACGCGGCTCCAGTCGCTCGCAAGCAGCTTACTCAGGTAGGGCTGCCACTGCGAGCTGCGACCGTCGATGCGTTGCATTCCTCATGCCGCGGGGGAGCGGTTCCCCTGCTTTTCGACCTACCTGTATACACCATCGTATGCCTGGTGTCCTCGCAGTCACCGAGGACGCGAGGACGCCAGACGAGTGACCTGCGCAAACTCACCTGAAGCGACCCAAACATCCACTGCCGCGAAGTACATCTGCCCAAACACAGCCTATATGCGCAACCTACTATCGTCAATATCTAGACGATACCAATCATCTCGCTGGACAACGGTAAACGCTCTCAATAGCACTCCTGTCCCTCCGACGGACCGCCCGCGGACATCGGTAAAGCGTTGGATTGGGGAGGACACACATACCAGCGACGAGGATATTCAACTTCCTCCAGCACCCTGCCCCGTTGCGGCCCGACCACGACTCGGACAATTCTTCTAAGCCCGAGCTTCCTGCATCACTCCTCCCGCGCGTTCATTGACCGGTCCTGCCGCGTCGCGTAGTCCCCGCGTACTTGCCCAGGCGCGGAGATGCCGGCTTTTTCGAATCGTTGACCGCATCGAGGCACGACACATTGCGTGTCGTACGGCCCTGCCTCCGCAAGACGTCCGAATGCCCCATCTCGAGGGCGTCACCTACCTCTGGACTCAATCCACTACCCGACTGCTCTATACGCACCGATACAGGCCCTTCCTCACTCTCTGCAAGACGTCCTTCCCGACATCCCCCAAAACATAGAGCGCCCGACGCGATAACGAACAACGCCGAGGGTTTCATTTTCACACCACGAGCAGGCGACGGCTGAACAGGGACGGGACCACCGTGGTACATGTTGTACGCGCCAGAAGCTGCCGGATGGTGGTTGGGTGCGGTTGCACGGCAGGCTGCGGAGGAACAAATGACCCCGCATATTGTGATGGCACTGACTGGGCATGCAGGGCGTACGAGTCGTAAAGGGCGAGGACTGGCATTGCCGGGACACTGTATTGCACACTACACCCCCACGAGAGGGAACGCGCGCGGTGCGAGCGGGAGGTAGCCTGGGCTGAAACGGCAGAGCCAGTGGCGCAAGGCGCAGCGAACACAAACCTGGGACAATGAGACCGTAGGGGAAACGAGCATTTTGTGCCCTGCGGCTGGTCTCCGGAAGTGCCAAGGCTGTTGCCTCCACGATCATAAGCAGCAGCGTGCGGGTGGGAGGACGATCGTACGCAACACTGCCATCGCGGTGTCTCCGGCGCACTAGGGATTGGTTGCCGATTAGCCCACAAAACTGACAAATCGATGAAACGTACTGATCGCTGCGATCCATCAGCCTCAGCGCCCTCCCACCATTGCCTTTCGAGTCCTTTCCCACATCCTACGCCTCCACGTCCTTGCTTCTTCCTGGACCATCTGCCCCTCCCTCCTCTCCTGCTTCCTCTTGCACACGTCCCAACGTCCGAGGTGTTGATCCATCGCTCTTGTACGTGCTAGCCGGTCGTGCGCGACCCCCATACGAGCTCCGCGGTAAATGTCATGATCGTAAGGGTGTTCGAACGATCGAAGACAGGGTTGGCGGACGCGGAGGGGATGCCGGATGGGGGAGGAATTGGATGCAACCGGTCGCTATGTCTATGCGTGAGGTAGAGAGCGTAGGCTCGCGTTCCTATCAGAGATAGAGCGGGCCTGAGTCAACCGCAACAGGAGCAGACAATTTGAATGGTTTGTCAGGTAGGCGAGACGTACCTCGATGGCGGGAGTCTTGAAGTACTGTACTAGACCGGTGTTCTCAATCAACGAGCACATCGTCATTATCAGAGTCGCAAACTGGTAAGCACGTACTCGAGGTGAGGCAGGTCCCGGGCCGTGGTGTAGAAGTCGAGGTTGAGGTCTGCAGAGATAGCGTGAGCAACCGCGACTGACGGCACATGAGAACTATGCTCAAGCAGACTGCAGATAAAGAGGTATGTATGCAGAAAGGACGAAGGTCGCAGTATACAGTACGCAGAACGACGGGTAGGGGTGCACTCCCCAAAATCGCCATGTTGCAGCATCGCTCGACCTTCGACGGGACGTTAATATGGGCGTGCCCGAAGTGGAGGATGGCGCGCAAAGAGAGCATCAGGAGCAGACATACTGCTGCATCGGTCACATGATGTGCGTCGCAGAGATGCACAGTACTCGCGAGCTGGCCTACCGAGCTCCTTGCTCATTGAGAGCTGTATGAGGGATCTGCACGAATACGTACCCAACAGCCTTCCTTGTCGAGCCGCTTGACCTGGAGATCTTCAAATGTAACATGACATGCCACGGGAGGGTTCCATCCCACAAGAACCGTTGCCTTTAGCGTATGAAAGTGGCATTAAGTGTGAAAAAGGCGAAGATCACAACCAAGCAGTAGAAGGCACGTTGGTAAAGCTTTTTGGATAGCATGAACAGCCAAGGGAGAACCAATCGGGAGACGAGCAGCGATAGTCACGGTCCACATCGCTCAGGTGTGTCACACGCGCACGTGAGGAGTGACGAATCTGTTCCGCCGGTTGTGCATCACAGAATTCCCTTTGATCTCGCGATCCAGTACAAGCGCCCGGCGATGTCTTCGCAATGAGTACAATGTTCGCGATAGGCGCAATCCTTGCGATGCGATATCGACCACATCGGTTCCCTTCCCATTGAGTAGTAATATGGTTGTTATGAATGAAACATTCGGATCCTTTCCGAGCGGTCCAACAATTGGTGTTATTTTGAAGCTTTTTACGATTGCGACTGACCGGGTTTCTTGGACAATGCTGGTATAATCTCGCATTTTCAGGTTCAGGTTGCGATTCAGGCAAAACACCACATGAGGCAGGATAGAGGACGAAGATATATTCCTGGCTTTACTACAACAGAAGCAATCTACAGTACACAGTAGAGACATCTTCCTACCAAGACAAATGAGCCATACCACCACAGCCGGAGATCATAGCTACATACAAGGAGAGCACTGCACCACGTCATGCGTGATTCATCATAAGACGTGAGGGGATCAAGCATAGCGAAGAATCAAAGATCCCCTGTAGACTGGCAGAGGGATAGACACAGAGGGACCTTATAGCACGCAGACTCACCAGTTGAAGGTTGCACCATCCAAGAACTCGAGACGCACCTTTTCACGATAACAAGAGACGCACCTGGGTGTACCTTGTAGACCGGCAAGCTGCTAGTTGACGACATCGAACATCACAAGCAATATGTGCTGGCCGGTCGTAACGATGCTGTCCTGCAGCACAGGAGCGAGACTTAAGGTTGCGATATTTGCACTCCGACGTAGTACTGTACAGTACCTGTGCTGATGCTGACGGGCGTGGTGTCTGAGTCTTGACGGCGCTCGATAGCAGGTAATGGCATTGTATAGTAAGCACGGAGTGGGACAGACAATGCGAGGGCATCGTGAGAGGAAGGATATTGGGCCGACATTGCAAAGGCGTCGCGATATAATGACCACTGATTCAATCATTTTACTCCTCGCCGATATCTGATAAAGCGGTTCAAAGTTGATTACAAAGGCGTCGATTATTTCTCCCCTGGCCAAGGGGCCCGATCTCAAAGGGAATTCTGTGATGTGATGCCAGGACACCTCCGAGTCCGTGCCCAATTCTTCGGAGTCCTTCAGCAAGTACTGGCAACAAGTAAGATTGGCCCAGAGCACAATGTGGGGCATCACGTGCCATTCCTGTCACGCTTTGGCAGGCAAAAGTGCGAAATCTGCATAGGCTCGACGAGGGGAGCCTAAATGACAAAAGGGCAACCGTGACTTTGTTGCGGGGTGCCCTTGCTACAAAGTTACGGTTTTCGTTTTTCTGTTTGCGGGGAGGGGACCGAGCCTATACAGACATACGCATCGACCTCCCTGCTAATTCCATGCCAAATCGTCGCTGAGCGCCGGCGGGGTTGTCACCCTTTGGCGGAGGGCACGTGCAATATCACGCTGTGACATAGCCCCACATTGTGCTCTGGGTCAATCTTACTGGCCTGTGTTCTTATCTGAAGCGCTAGTCTACCGTGAGCTAAGTGAGGCTCCGCCCCATCCTCCTCAAGCATCGCCCGAGTCACCCCAAGGGCACAGGGCTTTGGAAACTTGAAGCGTCCGGCGGTAATTCTTCGTTCTCCACTATCAGGGCCCTGCAGTCCCAGCCAGCACTGCTACACTGCATACGCATCAGATCCAGATGTCTTGACAGTCTCTGAGCAGATTAACGCTCACGCCGCTCGATTCTCTGCGCAACCGTGACTGCCCTGTGCGATACTAAACTAGCCATCCCGACTTGACAGCGTTGCTTCACAGCAGGATAATTTCCCTTCAGCTCTACTCATCTGACCAGTTCAGCTGCGACAGTCTTCCATGTCCGTGTCGTCCAGGTCATGTGCGAGGTGCCCTCCCTTGAACACATCTTTGATATGAGATTATGGCAGCTCATACCTGAGTGGCTGTTGATATTGGGGCGAAGCTTCCGTCATGTGAATCGCCCCACTTGGTGAATCCGTGGATACCGCGACTTTATCGCGCATGCATGCGTCTACCTTCCCAATAGAAAGGATGAAAGATATCCCGAATGCAGAACAGCGTTTGTATTTTATACTGGCATCGAGCAGTCATGACAGGTTGCTGACAGTTCATCCAACGGTGAGTCTGGTTCGTAACTGCCATGACACATTATACATGTATCGAATCGATGGGATATAGACGGCTTGATGGTCTCCGAGCAGAGTGCTCCTTACAATGTTGCACTCTCTGCACAATGGCTGTTGTGGTCCATGCTGACTCGACAGCGCTGCTTCGAAGCAGTACAATTGCCTTCTTCGCACACTAGGCCGACAGGCAATGTACGAGGTACCTGTGAAAGAGCGGGCAGCAAGCGAGGATATGGGTCGCGTTTGGCTCGAGAAGAGAGGCGACAACAGAGGGATCTCGTTGCAAACGCGTACCGTACAGTAAAATCAGTACAGCGTCTATATACGAAAACTTTATCGATAGCGGCGATAACCTAGCGCAATCGCTCCCTAAGCGCCCGAAAGCCAACCCTCTCTCGAAAGCATCTTGGATGTGAGCTGCTCATCCGAGCCATCAGAACCTTGAGTCGAGTTGAGGGCGCTGCCGTGATGTTGGTCAGCCACCTCAATTGCTCGATCTGTGGATCTCATCGCTTACTCGCACCGGCATACATCAACCTTTGCAGTGCATAGAGCGACAGGAATAGCGATTGCAGAACAGCATACAGCTAACTGTCATGACAGGCTGCTGATACTAGTTTCCCTCATTATTAAACTCAATATCAGATAGGTAATGCCTGTGGCTGCCAGCTACGCACAGATATAGGCCTCGCTGCAATTACCGACAACATTCCTTCATTCCGACGTCAGCGTGACACCTCTACACCTTGAAGTCTGAGTATGGCCGACAATGCAAATGTTCAGTTCGCATCTGAAGACTTGTAAGTAAAGCTCCCTCTAGATGTGATTTTACGTCTGAGATTGTGTCTAGCTTCAACACTTGCTGGGTAACGGCCGCCCTTGGTTCGTTCCTTGCAAAAACAATCGACACCATCTACATACTCATGAGCCTACGGTGTCTCATTTGCAGCGCTGTTCTCTTATGACTTCATCCTCACGTTCGGAAGCGAGGTAACACTCTTCTGGGAAGGGGGCCACCTATCCGGAGCAACCATTTTGTTTCTTCTTAATCGATACATCACCCTCGCGTCGCAAGTCATCGGTTACATCCCGGCCTCTTCGTCTGTGGAGGTATGTATCTCTACTCCTAGCATGCGCCAATCAATGCTTGACACTATGGCAGAGGTATACAGTGATGTTAGGGACTCAGAACGATGACTTCTGATGCATACACAGTGCATTTTCCATCCAAGTTGCTTCGAATGTGTTGGGGGGCCTACAGTATCTCCCATGGGCTGGTACGAGACTGCCCGACGTTCTGTATGGAATTGACATCTCTGATACCCGCTTCCTCCGATAGCATTCTCAGCATTCAGGACGTATGCTTTATGTCCGCACCCTTATCGATGGCCAATTTCCGCAAGTGTTTTCGCCCTATCTTCGGTGCCCATAGTCACGGACATGTGGGTGCGTACCTCCGATTTGCCATGGTCGAGCAGCATCGGAAAGCGTATTCCCCTGCACAGGTAGGCCTGTATGGACTGACAGTTGTCAATGATCCGGTGCTGGGCATCGCATTCACCAATCCAATATCGGCGAGCACAATCTTGAAGTAAGTGAACTTGCTACACTGCTCTGTGACGGGCTGTCTGACACTGCAGATGACAGATGTCGGTGCATGTTTCATCGCATCATGTATTCCGGACACGTTCTGAGATGAGACGTGACAGTGGAAGTGGTGACGCGATCTTGTTTGCAAGCGTCTGATCTGGTAGTTCTATGCATTACCTGGTTCCGAACATATGAAACGGCCAAACTATCACTCCGTCGCCTCGGCACGCGTAGCTTCGCAGGCATTCTTCTTTTCGATGGTATGTTATATAGATCATCACTCGAGGTCTATAAATGTAATCTTAAGCACCCTCTGATGTTGTTACAGGGACTATTTATTTCTTGTAAGTGCACGCAGTCGGTCCTAGGTCAGCTATCCTGAATCAACAGAGCGCTGCTCGTATTGAGCACTCTCCAAATGACGTTCACTCTAACTGGGGTGAGCGTTTGCTAGTCGTTGCGATATATATCTGACGTCATCAGGTTGCTGATAATGCATATTCACTGCCAACAAGTGTGATTGCATATCTGGAGGAACCGTACGTCTACCCCGCACCCCGCCTCCAGGTTTTAACCGACACTCTATTTTTCTGTCAGCTTGACCTCCATCCTTACATCGAGGTTCCTCATCGACCTGCAGAAAGCTCAGCGCAATCTGGCGGGCTCTTCCCAGTCAGTCTCACTCGGGGAAGTTGGATTCCAACCGGAGACATCGGGGAACATCAGTCGCTTCATTGGATCTTTGGGAGCCCAGCTATCCTTTCACGAAATCGACGAAGAGAACGAGGTGGAACGTACGCCGTAGGCCTCAGGCGTTTGGTGGACTCGTGGTGGTGGTGGTGGTGGTGGTGGTGGTGGTGGTGGTGGTGGATGATTCGCGGCGTGCTGTCTATACATTTCTTGGATCATAAGATCATCCGTAGACGGCAGTTCTCTTTCTACCATGCATGTTCACATTATACGTACAATGTTGGTGATGAACGATAGATTCACAGGATCTCCGGAGGAATAACACTCAGTGGTTCGTCCAACTCCGTCGATTTTCCGCCCGCCTCCGCATATAACCACCCCTCAGTTTCTACGACCGTCTGCGGATCTCATACCAACAACAAAGGTAGCCGTCACCCGGCGCGATGGATGACGACCGCTTCATGAGTCGCAAGTGCCACTCACCTATTCCGCGACAGTCGCCATGCTCCGTGCGCATACGAAACGCTCCACAGAGTGAGTCGAGCTGCGATATCACGAGCCCGGCCAACGCAGCGCAACATCCTGGTTCAGAATGGTGAGCGTGAGGCTGCAAACGTTCCGTTTGATGCATCTGCGGTGGAGCGTCGACAAGTTTCCCCGAGTCCAAAACTCCTCGATGGTCGGGAGTCAGCATACAGTGTGAGGCGGCTGATGCCGCACACAATCTGACCCATCTTCTGCAAAACTGCTGAAGAATCTTGTTCGCAAGGTGCTAAGACGGGGAGACGAACCGATGTCAAGCACCCATTCCGTGAGTTGAAGGCGATATCAGATGCCAATGTGACAGCCTGTTGCATCCAGGGGAGTGCCCGGCGTAGAAACAGAAGGGCAAATGTAATCACTCTCATTTTCAGAGCCACTTCCGTAGTGTGCAAGCCCGGTAGCGTCTCCTACACATCACGCGAAGACATGTACTGCGATTCAAGCCATGATCAGCCTTGAGTCGTCAAATAGGGATGCAAGGTCGAGATGCAGACTATTGCGACCATCCACACACCGCACCATCGTTTTAAGATACAAGTCCGCACCCCTATCACATCCATGTCTTTCCTCGCCACCTCCGCCAGTACGTTTCCTGGTCTGCGCACACCCTCCCTGACGTCAGGTTTCCGGTCATGAGGAGGTCCGTCGTCGAGTGTCCCGACGCGAGCTTGGACGAAGCATCTATTGTTTCGTGGAGCTCGCCAATGTCAGACTAAGATGCAGCCGTCGTCCTGTCCGCCGCAATGACGTGAGGGAAGTGGATGGAAGCTTGGGATCACAACCAGCGGGATCCCAACGAGGAAAACCTATGTTAGCGCAATGGGACATGGTAGGCTTTTGGCAGTTGACCTATCAGACCAGGGATGCAGCGATAGAAGGTTCTACAGACAAGTTCTGTTCACCAGGGCTCCGACAGAAGCTGGACGTCGACCACTAAGGACGGCGCCTGTAGAAAGTGCGCTGCTTGCGGGCCGCCGGACCGGTGTAGGCCCATCGGGCGCTGATGCGGTAGAGCATCACTCGGAGTTGGGGATAGGCAGCGCCCACTAGCCGATGTTCTGCTTACATAACGGTAGCGCTCAGAGATTTTGTCCGATCGAGTTATCTAAACAAACGACTCTCATCTAAGCGAGCTCAACTCGATCGAAAACGTATCTAGATTGTACTCATGGATTGGAGTGGTATACGGAGGCTTGGAGGTCATAACCGTGTTCAGACAAGGGACAAAGGTGCGGTTTGAGTCTCGGAAAGACCAAAACCCTGTTGGCACGGTGTAGGTTTGGGTGAACCATTGACATGTCTTGCAGGATGTTTTGCTGCATAGGATGATCGCACTGGTCGGGAGAGGACGGAGGCAACAGGGCACTGTTGGCTGGGTCTGCCAGAGGTGTAGGAGGGATTTTTCTATGTTGCGATGCTTCTAGCTATTTATATCGTTTATACTCGTGCTTGGAAGAGCTTTCTGTGCACATGAGCGGCGAGCCATGGCGTATAGGGGAAGTGAGCTGGTAGGCTGGTACTATCGTTTTGGGTAGTTATCGCAGCTCAACGCCGAGCGCTTCGACATTATGTAAGCCAGCCACCGTCCACAAACATCGTGATTTTTACCCTGCTGGGCTCACTTTGAGCTCTGGGTGCTCACACAAAAGTTGTAGAAGAGCTAACACACTAGCGATTCTCTCGTGCAGTTTTTTCATTTACCTCGTATCTACATATCTAAGCCCTAACTCGAAAATCGCCACGAGAGACCTTGTGCATTCGATGTTCATGATAATTTTTCACCACTTGTCTCAGTCATAATGGGGAAGTACGGAGAGAGATCTTTCTTTTACCTGTCGACCGCCCTTCAGCCACCAGCATTCCTTTCCGCTGTCCTGCCGTCTTATCGAGCCGTCGTCTAGAGGAGATTACCGCGCAATTCAAGCCCCGTCCACATCTAGAGGCATAAGCGAAGGCCGGGCGCTCTGACGCGCGCCTCCTCGGTTGACCCGGGCGCTGCCTATCCCCACTCGGAGGCTCGAGTTCACGTCCTCTCCATCAAAACATTCGGATATCCCTCGAGGCTGTTCTGCAGATGTCTAAGGCTCGTTACTCCTGCTCATTTGATTGTGCAAGATCCCTTGTTGGAGCATCAAGGTTGAAGACAAAGCCGTCACCTTGATAGCGGATGTCTAGGATGCGATTCGTGATACGAGTTCATTGGGTTCGACGGACGAGTTCGTACGACTACGTGAGTATTCTTGTTATATCAGCCAATTGTCTCTCGTTCGATCCTGTTTATATCCGAGGCTATTCTCAACACAGACGCCAGGCGTCGATTCGGATCCGGTTAATCTCAAGCCCTAGGATCTGTGCTGCGGTAGCTTCGTTGGCGCCGAGTATCGAATCCTGGACTCCTCCGAGTCTACGAATACCTCCCTCTGGATAACGCACTTCATCGCAGTGGTGTAAACGTATACATGCAAGAGTACGTGAGGTGAGCTATGGTGTCTGTTCCTCCCCGTTCATCCAAGACGAGCTGAAAAATTCTACGTTGGGATCTGGTCTTCAAAGTTTACGTGATTATGTCATCAGAGCCCACATCTTCGACGTTGAGATGCATGTGAACGAATGGAACGCTGAGCTGCCTCATGGCCGCTCCGCGTTTGCTCGCTTCTCTGCCCATCTCCCCCCCCTCTCTGTCTCTACCCTCACCACAATGTCCCAAGTACTCTTCTCTTACTGTCCTCAGACTCTCTATGGGGAAGGCTGCACGGATCCTGACTGCACGTTAATCCACGACGCGAAGTATTGCAAGCTCTGCGCTGTCATCTGCGAACCGGCTTTGGCGTACGAATCTCATTGTACCACCGATGCCCACATCAAGCAACGGAACAGGCCGCGCTGGTTACATTGCCCAATCTGTAACGTCTCACTCCCCACTCCAGGCTCCTGGTCCTCGCACGCGAACGGACGGGCTCATCAAAGATGTGCTGTGAAGCGAGGGCTTAATCCATCCCTCGTGAAGCCCGTGGAACCCCCTAGCAACTCCCCGCAATCAAGGTACTGTGAGACTTGTGAGCTCACGGTGGCCTTTGATGCTTGGACGGTGCACAGAGGTGGTAAGTCGCATCGCCTTCGAGAGCAACATGCCCTCTTCAGGGCATCCATCGGGAGAGCAACTCAGGACCGAGGAGTCAGCGTCTCACACGAAGACGGTCTCGACTTCGGTATCGTCAGCCTAGCTGTAGCGAAAGCCGGTGTCAACGCCGAAGTGGTAATCACTACTAGCACTACCTCTCCTGTGTACGAGGTCTTAGCCAGCATACACTCCGGTGTAACCGGGAAGCTCAGAAGCAAGAAGATAAAATCGCCGTAAGATCGTGCGCTTATTGAGTATATGTGTACTGATGCCGTTCCATGCAGATTTTCCACAGCATTGGATCGTAACGACGTACCCCCTGCTTATTCCCTGAGCCTCCCGATTCGCTTCACGGGCCTCAATCGCGGTCGCTACGAGGAACACTTGGTGATCGCCTTCCAAGCTGTGAATGGCGCTAGCTTCGTCATTGTCAGAAGATTGCGAGTGACTGTGGGCGATGCTGCAGACCACGAGTCCTTGAAGCCAGTAACCCCTTACATCCGTAGTCGTCGCGTACAATGGCGGAAGGATTTACCAACAGTCTCGGGCGAGCGCCCATCCTCATTCCTTGCAGCTCAATACATCAGAAAATTACCCGAAGCGCGAATCCCTGTAGAGCTCGGAGATATTTTGAAATCTGGCACTCCCCAAGACGTCGAGACGCGCATACGGGAGAAATACTTCTCGGAGCCTTTGTCGCTGGCCACCCATGCGTCGCACTTCGCCAATCTTCTGTGGATAGAGGAGGACCGCATGGTGTAAGTCGCATGGTCAATGTAGCATTGGTTGCTTCTCTGAGTATGGTATAGGGAGGACCTGCGACGATACGACATGTCGGATGTTATCTTCACGAAAGAGGGCAGATTGCACTCGTATGTTATTCATCCTCTGTACCATGCTCCATCTGAATCTCTGGTGGGATAGCCTCAGGGTCCCTGGATTGGCCGAGAAGAGGCCAAGCGTCATGATTGGTATTGGTCATGTCGTATTGACCAAAGTGCATTAACTCATCCTCTTCACGCAGGCGATGCGATCAACGTCCAAGCTGCGAACGGGGCTGACGAGCGGACGTATAAGGGCTTCGTGCACGACGTCTATATGGAGACAGTCCGAGTCAGCTTCCACGAGTCATTCAAGGCCGAAGGAAGACGCTACAATGTCTCCTTCCAATTGAACCGTATTCCGCTCAGGAGGCAGCATCAGGCATTGGACGCGTCCGCTCCCGATCCTCGGCGCCTTCTGTTTCCACTTCCTGGACAGCAAGGCCTTGGACGTGCTCTTGGTCAAGACGAACAACCCGTGACTTTCTTTAACCCCCTGATTGCGGCGAACCCTGCTCAGACATTGGCGGTGAAGTCTATCCTCCAGCTTCGCCCTGGCGCTGCGCCGTTCGTTGTCTTTGGACCGTGCGTGCTTTCATGTCGTGATTTTCGGGCTGCGATTCTCATCATATGTGTGCTGTTGTAGACCTGGTACGGGAAAGACGGTCACTGACGTCGAGGCAATCCTTCAGATTCTCGATCGCGACAAGGATGCCAAGATCCTTGCATGTGCCCCTAGCAACAGTGCCGCAGACATCATTGCCCTTCGACTTTCCGCCACGTTCACCACGGCAGAGATGTTTAGAGCTAACGCTCCCTCTCGCGACCCCCGTTCTGTTCCTGAAGCCCTGGAGCCGTATACCCTCCACTTGACCTACCGTTACGGCTTCCCGCCCCTTGAGGATCTCAAGAAATTCAGGGTCATCGTGTCGACATGTGGCAACGCGTCGTTCGCGTACAACGTCGGTATCGAGCGGGGTCACTTTTCCTACATCTTCGTCGACGAAGCTGGTCAAGCGACGGAGCCGGAGGTCCTCACGGCAGTCAAGACCATGTCCTCAAAGGATACTCGAATCGTCCTATCTGGAGATCCGAAGCAGTTGGGGCCGATCATTCGCTCGAGCATCGCCAGGGAGCAGGGCTTAGGTGTCAGTTATATGGAACGGTTGCTGGAACGGCCCGTCTACGATGCACAGACTGGGCGCGGGCTTTCGTGAGCGCACCATTGCGTTCTATGTATTCGTCACATCCTGATTCTGTTCACAGATGGGTGAAGCTCCTGCAGAATTACAGATCGCACGAGGCCATCCTACACTATCCTAACGAAAAGTTCTACGACAACGAGCTTCAAGTGTGCGGAGCCCACGGTACCGTGAATTCGTTCCTGGGCTCCTCGCAGTTAGCGTCTCCGGAGTTCCCCGTTGTGTTCCATGCACTCGCAGGACACAACGATCGCGAGTCAACATCGCCGTCGTATTTCAACATTGACGAAGCCTCGGAAGTGAAGGCATACGTCCAGGCCCTCTTGGCCGATCGCCAGTATCCAATCCGTGAGTATTTTTGTCAGACGCGATCTTAGCTCTTCGCCGACGCATGCTCTTTGCAGAGGCGAAGGACATCGGCGTGATCACGCCATACCACGCTCAAGTACGCAAGATTCGCAAGCTGCTCCGCGACGCAGATATCCCAGACGTGGACGTCGGAAGCGTCGAGATCTTCCAAGGGCAAGAGCGCAGGGCGATCATCCTATCCACTGTCCGGAGCAGCGCCGATCTCCTCGCATACGACGCGAAGTTCACCCTGGGATTCGTCTCTAATCCTCGTCGCTTCAATGGTACGTACCTCACCTTTCCATCCATTGCGCCAGCTGTTGATAGACTCTTTCTGGCTTGGCTTCGCAGTTGCCATCACTCGCGCTCAAGCGCTCCTGATTGTCATCGGCGACCCCGGAATCCTCTGCTTAGACCCCATCTGGCGGGGTTTCTTGAACTATGTCTATTTGCACGGCGGATGGCGTGGCGACCCACCGACTTGGGATGTCAATGTCCCTGTTAGAGACGATGCGGACTACTTTGACGAGCTGCAGGAGGCCCTGGCAGCAGAGATGGGTGTGTTCATGTCGCGCCTTCCGTCGGAGGGCGAGGATTTGGAAGGCGACGCGAATGTCGAGAGGGAGTTCCAAGAGACGGAATAAACTCAATATCGCATTGAAGTCTTACCTCATAATTTGCGAGATCTAGTACTTGTACACTATTCTTGATGATGCTACATGTATTAGCACGAATACCGCTCATGGGAAGCTGCACTGCTGGGTATCGACGATACATGACAAGCGGAGACGTCTCACCAATGGAAGGCATTCTACACATCTAGGGGCGATCTGAGACATCGAAGGAGACACCAAAGGAGACATCGCTCTCCGTGCTTTCATCTGAAATATCATACAAGGCGTGAATTCTCACTGTGAAAGTATGGCGGAGTCTTCCTCTGTTTCCCTGATCTACGAAGTGCCTTTGAGCACCAATTCTATCGAGTAAGCATATATCGACTCACCGATCTGCTGATCAGCTATAAACCACGGGCCTCTGCATCCTGCTCCTCTTCTTCGTCCCCATTCCCACCATCGGTCCTAGCGTTTTCCACAGCAGCATTGACTGCAGCCTTCGGCCCAGCGATAAGCCCCCCGCCGATACCTTCCAGCATCTTACCACATCCGTATAAAACCGCACCACCAGTGAAGATTGCTGCTCCGGCCAGGATGAAAGGCGAAGCAAGCACTACGCCGAGCCCCGTCCCGAGGGCCTCGAGGGCCGCGGAGCTTGAGCTCGACGTGGACTGGCCGGGATTGGATCCGGCGGGACGCCTGCGCCCTGTGCCGTCGGTGTTGCGCCTGCGACCGCCTGTGGGCTCATCGTCAGGGGAGAAGCTTCGGCCGTTTTGCTTCTCGTTGCGGCGGTTTGAGCGGCGAGTAGCGCTTCCAGCTTTCACCAAACAACGATCAGGAGACTTCGACTCGTCTGAGCTCTTGTTCAACATGACGAAGAAGGTGCTGTAAGGGGGATGTTGATAAAGTTCTGGGTAACAGCGCACGTCTCTGGCCAATATAAGTGCGCACTCGGTTTTTCCGCAGGGGAGTAATGAGCGATGCAGGGGGATTACTCGCGCAGTACATTTGCTTATATGTGACCGATGAGGTGTGCTGCGGTAGTTCAAAGGTAATTTAGTCACCATAACTTCCTTCGGATGCTCTACATTGACGTACTTGGCATTTCAACAACCCATACCGAGTAAGCTGCAGCCTTCCATGACGCGCCGCAGTCGAGACTCAATTATTACCGCAGGCTACCACTACCGGGATCCTAGGCGATGCCATGGAGGACAACACTTGCTGCGCAACACAATAAATTGGAGGGCCTCTGCTCCTGAGGCGTGCATGCGTCAGGAGTGCAAGAAGTTTGGCGTATCCTATAGATTACGGTACAATCGCTCCGCCAAGTATTGAGCGACGTAGGGGTATGCTTGCCTGACAGCAGTGCGCGAGTATAATTAGAGCGTGGTGGCAGTGCCTTAGGATGCCAGGAGGATGAGAGACAAGTCCGAAAGCAAGCAAGCAAAGATGCGCGACAATCATATGCACACGCACCCATCTCCCCATCCCTCATCCTCGCGGCGAGCGCGTCTCCCTCGGGGTATGGCTCCCGCTCTGACTCCGCGACGCGCGCGCCCTCCCGTGCCCGTTCCCCATCCCGAACCCGAACCGCCCGCTCCGCCCCTTCCTCAGCGCGGTCCGCTCGTCCGCCTCGAGCTCGTCGTCCTCCGCCTCGTGCAGCGTGTCCAGCCCCATCCCGTCCGCGCGCTCCTCGTCCTCGTCCTCCTCGAACGCCTGGAAGAGCGTCTGCGTCTGGTTCCGGTACAGCGAACTCCGCCTGCCGTGCCCCCCGTGCCCGTTCGCCGGGGTGTTCCACGGGACGGGCATCGTGCTCCCGATGGGCGTCCCCGCCGCGCCGTTCCACCCGTCGATCGACATTCGCCCGTGTATGCTCAGGCGAGGGTTCATCAAGCCGGACTCAAGGGCGGAGTGCGGGTGGTGGCCCCCGGGGAGAGCGCCGGGGTCGGGCTTGCGGGAGATCTCGAGGAGGTGGACGCCGAGGAAGGTGGTGATGAAGCCGGCGAGGAGGGAGATGGAGTTGGCGGGGTCGTCGGTGTTGAAGCCTTGGAAGAGGATGACGGAGGCGACGATCGTCGCCGTGGAGAAGCCGACGTAGTACATCGGGTTTACGCTGTCAGGGCATCAGCCGGGGAACCCGCATGGGAACGAGGGGAGACCTACACATTCGTGGAGAAGGTGTCGAGGGCCTTGTTGAAGTAGTTCATCTGAACGAGGATGCAACCCACGACGGTGATGCCGAAGACGTAAGTGCTTATGTGCGAGAACTGGTTGTTCCCCGCAAGCGTCAGCTTGACGGCGACGCCGAAGCCCTTGATCGCCATAACAGATATGGAGCCGACAAGCGAGCATATCGAGATATATACTATCGGGTTCGTCCGGCCGTACTTCGGTACTACCATGTAGATCATCACAAGGCTGAACACGAGGACCGTGAAGCAGTACAACATAAATCCTAGCGTTCGCAGAGGCGGTTAGCTACGGATACGGTGTGAAAGAGATTTTCGCGGTAGCAAAGAAGTACCTGGATGTAGAGCATATTGCAGAATTTCGTCTACTGTCTTAGCGTCCTTGTCTGGCGGCGCGTGCAGCACTATGATGAGGGAACCCAATAGACATAGGGAGCATCCTAAGCGTCCCAGGTGACCTAGCTCTTCATGTAGCAGGAAAGATGCCAATATTGCCCTGCGCTCGAAAATGTCAGAGAATTTTACCATAGGGAAGACAACATAGCAGGCATACCCAATGATGACACTGAGTGCACCGAGAGGTGTAACGAGTATAGGAGGCGCAAAGGTATACGCTGCAAAATTCGCGACTACACAGCGGGTTTAGGGAGGATGAGACCAGACTCGCAGGATGGTCAGCATGGAGAGGGAGCCATACCTTCACCAAGGATTACTTCGCGACCAAAATTAGACCCTCCGGCATGCACATCCGAGAAGGCTCCCACTCACAAGTTGTCATGCCCGCCCACCATAATGGATTGTGGAAGTAAGCATAGTTGTCAGACGCGGAGGCGTACGTGGAGGTTTCGCCTGCTTGATTGAGACCCTACTTCGCGACAGCAGCTGAGCCCCGGCACCGACGGTAGTGCATGCATGAGGAGCCGACCTTTTTGGTGAGGATGAAGCTCGTGCCAATGGCTAATGAGCTCGAGACAGCAAGCGCAAGGCCGATGTACTTGTCTTCTAGCATGGCATGAACGTCTGAGATGATATTGCGACCAGAGTGAAGGTGTGCGCGAGCAGCAGGAGAAAGGAGCGTGGGTCTACGAGGTCGGCAGGCGCAGTGACCGAAAAGCGTGGTGTCAAAGTGGGATAAGCGAGACGTCGTACAGATGAGGGTGAAGCGTCGAGGACGGTCGTGATCTAGCACTGAGACAAGAGAAAGGCGAGCAGCGTTAGAGGCTGAGCCAGAAGCCTCGCAGAACGGAGAAGACGGTGAAGAAAGGGGTGTCGAGGACCGAGGACGTGGAGGGACACGGTGATCGGGAACGGCTGCCACGCGTCTCACGCGTTCGCCAGCACTTGCGAACACGCGCAGGCGTCGATCCCCCAGCCCGGTCCGTGTCCTCCTGCCAACCCCGCCGGATGTACTCGACCCTCCGTGCATCGTTCGCTCCTGTCTTCTCCCCAGTTCTCAGGACAGTCTCTGCTGTATTCACCACAACTACCAGGAAACTACGACTGCGACGATCCTACGCTAGCATGGCCGCTCACGCGACCGTCAACACTACCGCACGCCTCCAGGCCCTTCGCGAGCTCATGGCGAAGCCGGAATACGATGTACAAGCCGTCGTGGTGCCTTCAGAGGACCAGCGCGAGTAGCCCTGTTGTTGCTGTGGATTGGGACATGCGTACGATCGGATTTGATCTCCTTCAGATTTCAGCGAGTACATCGCCCAATGCGATGAACGCCGTGCTTTCATCTCGGGCTTCAACGGATCTGCCGGTGCATACGCTTCTTCTATCTGGATTCTGCCTTGAGCTGCGTGTTCATATCGTGAATCGCCCGGCTGGACAGGATGTGCGGTTGTCACACCGAAGGGCGCGTATCTCTTCACGGACGGGAGGTACTTCCTTCAGGCCGAGAAGCAACTAGACGAGTATGTGCATCGCCATACCTTGTCCACAACATCATTGAGTGTCAGAACCGTTACCGCCTTGCAGGAATTGGACTTTGATGAAGCAAGGCCTTCCAGGTGAATACCTCACCGGTTAGCGACCTTACACTCCCATCTCAATGCCTTGCAAGACGTCCCAACCTGGCAGGAGTTCTTGTCCAAGGTCTATAGCCAACTGACATGGCAGTCAAAGCCAACATTAACCAGGCTCTTGCCATCCTTAGAACCTTGATAGCAACACACGTATTGGCATAGACCCTACGCTCATCTCCGCTTGTGAGTTAGCTACATGATCAGTAGTCTATATCAAGATTTGTTCAGACCATTGCTCTCAAAGCCGATGCAGAAACCATCCAGAAGGCTCTGGAGCCTAAGAAGTCCCAGCTCGTCTCGTTGTCGAAGAACCTAGTCGACCTGGTATGGTCCGATCGGCCATCACGACCAGCAAACAAGATCTTTCCGCTCGATGTAAAGTACGCAGGTGAGTAATTGAATGCTGAGTATTGTACAGAGAGTACCTTGCTCGGATTCGTTGTATATGCGCGTGGGCTATATACTCATCGTGATGAAACAGGGAAGTCGCACTCAGAGAAGCTCAAGATCCTTCGTGAAGAGCTGAAGAAGAAAGACGCCAAGTCCATGGTCGTGAACATGCTCGACGAGGTCGCCTGGCTATTCAACCTCCGCGGCTCCGACATTGACTACAACCCTGGTGCGCTCACGACTTCCGAAGTCACTAACCAAAAAGGTCTGAAACGTCCGTAGTGTTCTTCGCGTACGGCCTAATAAATGGAGACAAGACTCTGTTATTCGTTAACCAGTCACAATTTGACGATTCCGTGCGTCAACACCTCCGCTCGGAGGTCGAGGTCCACCCATACGACACGTTCTTCTCGTACCTCACCCGCCTCGGTTCCGAGCTGAACAGACACAGGAATGCCGTACGTCCTTCATCTGTCTCCCCAGTGCCTCAATAGAAGCTTCATGCTGCGCACACCTAGCAGAAAGTACTCATTTCGGACAAAGCGAGCCTTGCAGTCGCGGAGGCGATAGGCAAGGTACGTCCGCACTTACGCCCTCTCAGACCTGGACTCGGTACCAGACTCGAGGACGCGGTTATTCCGGGCGGTGGGCTGATATCAGGCCTGCGCGCGCGTCGAAAAGGATAACATTATCGTCACGCGCTCGCCCGTGACGGATCTGAAGGCGATCAAGAACGATGTCGAAATCGAAGGTTCGTACACATCAAGACAGATAGGCCGACTACATGTGGGAATCGCTATTCACTGGTCGGAACATCCCAGGCTTCAGGCAATCGCACATCCGGGACGGCGCAGCCCTCGTGCGCTACTTTGCTTGGTTGGAGGAGCAGCTGAATGCGGGTGCGGTCCTGAACGAGAGCCAGGCTGCGGACCAGCTCGAGAAGTACCGCTCGTGCGTATGCTGCGTCGTAGGGATTTCTGCGCGAGACTGATCAAATCGCAAGAGAAAATGAGTCCTTCAAAGGCTTGTCCTTCCCGACAATCTCCGCCACGGGCCCCAATGGTGGTATGTCACATAGACCAACGGTTTCTTGCTTACGTCTCATTCGATTGATCGGTGTCAGCTATCATCCACTACCAACCTGAACATGATGACTGTGCGGTCGTGAAGAAGGACCAGGTGCGTTTAATCCTCCGTTTCGTGGCTGAGTAAGACTGAGATACTCCCGTGGCAGATCTACCTATGCGATTCTGGAGGTACGCGCCTCAGTTCTCGCCCTTTCACCTCCATTGTTCATTGTCGATAACAAACTAGCACAATACCTCGACGGCACGACGGACGTCACCCGCACATACGTACGTGTGTTTTCTCCCTGCGCCCACTTGTCCATGACTGAAGTTGTTTCACACAGCACTTCGGTACGCCGACCCCTGAGGAGAAGCGTGCGTTCACGCGCGTGCTCCAGGGCCACATCGCGATCGACGTCGCTGTGTTCCCGAGTGGTACCACGGGATACCTCCTTGATCCGTTCGCGCGACGACCTCTATGGGAAGATGGGCTTGGTGAGCGTGTGTTCATGTTTACTGTAGATCGCATGCTGACATACCCGTAGACTACCGGTTAGCTACGCATATATACTGAACACTGGCATATGGACTTACGGCATGACTCGCAGCCATGGCACAGGCCATGGCGTCGGCCACTTCCTGAACGTACACGAGGGGCCCCACGGTATCGGCGTGCGCATCAGTACGTCTTGCAAAGCCCGTCGCGATATAGTCCTCTCCGTTCACTATTGAGTTCCTCCATAGCCTACAACAGTACACCTCTCAAGCCCTGCATGACTGTCTCGAACGGTACGTCCTCTCCTCTCCTCAGCTATGTTGGCACCGGGAGACGAATGGGATTCGCGCACAGAGCCTGGGTACTATGCTGATGGCCGTTACGGTATTCGCATCGAGAACATCGTCATCGTCCGCGAGGCGCATACCCCGAACAACTTCGGTGACAAGGGCTATCTCCGTTTCGAGCACGTCACCCTCGTACGCCTTTTTTCTCCTTTCCTTCCCTTCTCGTTACTTGTCAACATATTATTAACGATCTCTCATGAATAGTGTCCCATGGGCAAGACCCTCATCGACGTCTCCCTGCTGACTGCAAAGGAGAAGGAATGGCTAAACGCATACCATGAGGAAATCCAGGAGAAGGTCGCGCCCTTGCTCAAGACCGATGAGCGCGCGCTGAAATGGCTCCAGCGCGAATGCTCACCGCTCTGAGTTCACCGCTCGAGACTGGTTGAGAGCGTCGCATGCAACAAAAGTGTATCATATGCAACAAGGATTACGCGCGTCTATTCATTTCTTATAAGGCTGCGTGAAGTAGAGGTGAGAAGACAGTAACGCAGAGAGCACTGTTCGCGAGGCAAGCGTCCAACATGTCACGTCGATTTGCGGAAGAACTGGCTGCCCTGGGTCGCGAGCTTCAGCGCGACGATGGACGACGTAGCCAGCGTCGTCCACCCGAGGCGCGTTGGCCACGGTCCGGCTCCCTGAACACCCATCTGCCCAACGGTTACAGCGACAAGGTCGTAAAGCAGCACAGAGCCGAACAATGGACCCGAGTACGCCGTGGCAACGGGGAAGAAGATGTACGTCAATGCCTGGACAATTGATGAAGGCGGGGGGCGGTAACGCTACGCAAAGGCGGAGACAGTCAGCGCGGGCCTCATGGGATGTGTACTGCGCTACTCACGAAAGCGACGCCGCCATTATCAATGAAGTCCAGCACGCCAATGCCTGCAAACGTCTTCGCAACAAGGTGCGTAAGCTTGTGCAGCATGGGACTATCGGGTCGGACAGGGGGCAAGGCCGCAACGGCGAGGAGCTGGACGGCGGTGTTGATAGTGACGAAGACTTGCGACGCCGCGAAGTTCTGGCGCAGCCAGAAGAACAGCCATCCCGCTGTAGATGCCAGCGCTTGTCAGCCTCCACGTCTCTCATTGAGGCGACAAGCGTGTGGCTTACCGATGCAGAAGTTGCCGATGGCGTAAACAGGAACGTAGCTGAGCGCGACCTTCCACGCGCGCTCTTCCTCTTTGTCCGCGGTGGGCTGCATGGGGGACTCATCTTGAGCCTCGCCCGTCGAAGAGGGGTCCTGCGCGATCGCCTGGTATCCGTTTGGCGGGTCATTGGCGAAGATCTGGCGAATCCAAGCGAGCTGAAGGACCACCTGCCCTGAGAAGAAGGCAGCAATGAACCACGGGTTCGGTGAGAAGGCGAAGTGGTTCTGCGAAGGCGTCACTTCTGGTAAGACTATATGACTTGTCTGCAGGGAGATGAATACGTACCGCGTCCGCAACGTCCTTCATGTTGGGGGTGGTGATCATGCCGTAGGTTTGCACCGCGAATTTCGTCAAGAACGATGACACGGTGAGCACCCGTGCGCGGGAGACGTCGTTACCCATGGTGGCAATTGTGTTCACAGTTGAATAGCGGGACGATGAGTGCGAGAGTAGAAGATGGAGGATGGGGATGAAGGTGAGGGAGAGGCTGAGGGCGAGCTTTTCGCACTTATATAAGAAGGGAGGCTGACATTAATGATGTCAATGTATAGGTGACGAGTCGAGGCGTACTCTTGGATGTGCATCGCTGGTGATGTCATGACCGCCGCTCGATCGTGTCCCTTCTAGGATAGGCGCGGGCATGGACCACAAGAGGACCTCCGCTTCGCATGACAATGCCTTTGTATGCGCATTTTGAGGCCAAGTCTGACGCGGACGACTGAGTGCCTGCGACTGAAGAACAAGGCAGTTCACAAGTAGATGCTATTCAATGGCAGGGGCAAGAAGACAAACGTGCCAGGAACATCTCACGACCTTCCGTAACAGGCTAGGGCATCAATCCGCCTTCACAGATACCTCTGTCAAGAACGACGAACATGACTGCATATAACGATTAGTCTTCGCCCACATTTTTCATCGTTCAACTCCCGTTGGACGTTGTCTCTCTTTCACAGCCTATCCTCTCTTCCCCAAGGTCCAGTCGGAGCCACTAAATCCGTCGCCATGATTATGAACGCCATCCTTCTCGCTTTCGCCACTACGACAGCTGTAATTGCAGCTCCAACTCCTGGTCCTGCGGGTGCGTGCTTCTTCGTCTGCGTCTCGACAGTCTCAACGGTTCGTTTGACTGCTAGAGACCTAGATTCTCCAGTTTGCCCTTAGCTTGGAGCACATCGAGAACGCCTTATATCAGCAAGCCCTCGAGAAGTTCGACGATCAAGCCTTCCAGAACGCAGGCTTCCCTGTTTGGGTCCGCGCCCGCTTCGAACGACTCGCCACGCATGAGAAGGAGCACGTTCAATATTTGCAGGAAGTGCTCAGCAACGACGCACCTAAGCCTTGCGAGTACGACTTGTAAGTATGAGCATTACACGACATTGGGATACATATGGCTCAGCATCATCGACGTAGCTCCTTCCGGCTGAAGGACCCGTTGTCATTCGTCCAAGCTGCCATGGTCTTCGAGTCTGTCGCCGGGTCCACATACATCACCGTGGGGAGTATGCTGAAACAGCTGAATGATGTGGTTCTTGCGGGGGTAAGTGCGCTGTCTTCACACTCGCAACCGTCTTGGGCGGGGTTTGAACATCACCTTTAGTCTATCGGCGCGGTCGAATCTCGCCAAGTCGCGTGGGTAGCGTCTGCCGCCCTCCACCTGGAGCCGTGGAACGAAGGTTTTGAAACGCCTCTCGGCCTGACGGGAGCGTATACCCTTGCGCGTAAGTTGATGTGCCAACATCCATGTCGACGGACACTCAAATCACCTTTCATGCCAGAGCCACTGATTACCAGCTGTCCTTGGTCGAGTTGCCCTGTCCCATCTGGGGTCCAAACGAACTTGCCCGCACTGACACTCGCTACCGTCACTCCATCCCCTGGTGGTCACGTTCAGGTGTCCTTCGGAGACAACGACTTCAGTACGAAAGGCGGCCAGAAGTAACTCGCCTGGTTCAATGGGCTGAGCTTCGAGCTGACCGAGGTCGGGAGGAACGGGAAAGCCCAGGTGCCGGAAGGTCTCCAGGGCATCGTCTACGTCGCGGTCGTGCTCGGCCCTCAAGGCCGCAGCGGCAAGCAGTTGATCATCGTCAGCGGCTTCAAAATCGCTGAATTCAACTTCCCATCATTCGCCGAGAACTCGTAATGGAGGGCGACGGTGAAGCTGGAACGAAATTTTCCTTGGCGCTATGTCTGGTCTCGTCTCGGATCTGAGGAGACCATTCAACATTTGGGGTTAGGCATGTTCGCGAGGCATCGTATTTCCACAGTCCTAACATCCCACGCAACCACGTTGCCTTATCTGCGCCACGAAAGTGTTTAAGCGTGGCCTCTGGATAGGAGACGACGTATCAACAGCAGGTTGCGCCTGCTGGATCTTCGGAATGGCGGCTCTTTTGCCGCTGACCCCGACGCCGCGGCGCATTTATGTAAGCGGCCCTAAGCGGTCCGAGGCCCTGACTTGCAACCGAAGTAGCAAATCGTGTTCAGATTGCTGATAGAGCGTATGGCCATAAGCTCAGAACCAGAAAACCAAGGAGGGCGCTTCACCAGATTCTCTCAGCATGATCGGCTCCATCAAAGCTCAGCGCCCCATGACTTTACCTCCGAACTCATGGCTAATTGCTCTCATACCTCCACCGTAAGTCCATAGCCTAAATCTTAGTCTCATTTACTGTTGACAGGCCTCTCCGACTCCAGGCGACTTCGAATCGGAGCGCGGACGATTAAAAAGGGGCTGACTTCCAGTGAACCCTATGCTCGTGAACGCAGGTGATCCCTTCGTCCTCAACCTCAGACGCATTCTTGCCAAGCAAAAACAGGATGTCAGCCAACTCAGACCCCCAAGCCGCCATCACGGAGGCAAGGTATGGCTTATGTTATGCGTCCCATCCTCCGACATTGATAAGAGAGCAGTGCGGCGATGCTCAGCGACTATTGTGATATCGCTGTTACGGGTATGGTTCACATTGAAACAAACGGCGTACATGCTGTGGCCGAGATGAGAGTAAAGACACTGACATATGTTTCTCAGCACTAGTCGTGTACGAATACCTTGTAACCGTTGACAGTGAGATCATGTTTTTCTGGAAACCATGCCGAATCAACGGACCGTCGATCCTGTTCCTGCTCAACCGGTACCTCAACCTCACGTTCACGATCTTGGATTGGACGCCCCTTCCGTCTTCTTTTCAGGTGTGTGTGATGTCACTTGCTGTTTGCTTGTATGTTGCTGAACGTCAGGGCAGAGGTACAGTGATTCCGGCTAGCCTGAATGGTAGAATACGCATTCTGAAGCGACTACAGCGCGGTTGCGAACTATATCGTTTTCGACGTCTTCAGATACTCACGGTATCTTCCTTGGGCTGGTAAGTGCAATGCACTCTGCTAGACTACACCATGTTCAGGCCGTAACATTGTCCAGGGTTCTCAGCACTCAGATTCTATGCTCTGTTCCCAGGATCCAACAGATACAAATGTGTCGCTACTGCGATCGTTTTCGCCCTTTCTGTGGTCCCCTTCGTGCTCTTTCTGCCCGTAAGTATCGAAACCCCTTGTCTTTTGAGAGCGACATTTGACAGACCTTCTCGCGCGCAAGGGACTCATACATTGGACGCATTACTCGAATGATCCCATCGAGGGAGTCATTCCTGTGAGCACAGAACCAAAAGAAATCACTACAGCGTGAATGAATCCATCTTTCTTCATGACACTCCCTCTGACGCTGCTACTTACAGGCGTAGGTTGACATTTCACAGCGCAGTGCTCCGACTATGCTCTGAACCCGTGGACATCTAGTGGCAGTCGTATCCAGAGTCTCTCTCGGTGCTGCCGATCTATTCATTCTCTGTGTTACGTGGTACCAAACATATGAAACCGTCAAGATTGCTCGGTATCATGGGGTCGGACATGACAATAGATCATTTGCAAGCACGCTTCTGCGCGATGGTGGGTGCTTTTATTGACATTGCGCCACTACACGCATTGACAGAAATTCTGGGTCATTGTACCATAGGGACGACTTACTTCTTGTAAGTGAAACAAAGCCGATCATCTCCTCTATGGCCTTGACTCATGAACTTGGGACAGGCCACTGCTGATACTCAACCTGCTATATGTTGCGTTCACTCTGACTTCGGTGAGGTAGAGTCAGATGAAGGGCGAATGATTGTCGTCTGACGTTGATCAGGTTGCCAAGGGCCCGTGGGGCGGAGTCAGCCTCGTGCTTGCTTTTGGGGAACAGTACGCCCCTATTTGATCATAATACTCGAGCTTCATCCTGACGTATCCCCAGATTGACCTCTGTGCTCACCTCGAGGTTCCTCATTAACCTGCAGAAAGTGAAGCGTAGGCTGGCAAACTCTCCCCGGTCGATGTCTCGGGCGTCGGATTCCCTGACACAGTCTGGCGGAGGCGTAGGCAGCATTGGTGGGTTTATTGGGCCTTGGGGAGCATCAATTTCGTTTCATGATGACGATGTCGAGGAAAATGGGATAGAACTGTCATAGGCGGGTAGTCAGGACTGGTTTGGTATCCTTCTTGGCGGTTTCGAAACGCATCGCAGGACAGGATACTTATCAAATGCTCGCTGGCCTTGTAATCAAGGCTATTTTTCACACAGAATCTGTCTGGGATTGGTGTACGAACGTGCTGACACTTCAAGGCGCTCCAGGATGAGAATCAGCTACACCGAGCGATCGTCTGGGACAGCGAGTAAATGCTAGGCTATAGGACGTTTTCACTTCGCCTCGCGACCGTACAAATATCCCTATGGTGCGCTGCCGGAAGCCACCTAACTTAACTTAGAATGGGAAAGTATTAGTCGTGCGTGTTAGCGTGGCATCGCCAAGTTTTCCAGAAAGAAATGACGAAGAGTCAAATTGCAGACTGAGGTGAACAGTCGCGGCGGCTGAGTAAAGCCTAGGCCTGACGCCTGAGGCCTGAACGTTGAAGCCTTTCGAGGAGTCGGGACTGTGGGCAGCCGCTCGTAACGGCCCGGGGCCCGTCTTCGGGAAACTCCGGCCAACGAAACTCAGATGCCAAGAGGCGCCTTGATGTTGCTTTCTTCGAATTTCCTTCAATACTACCTGCTCTCAACATTCCAACGGGTCCCTGTAGCGCTCTTTTCGGTAAATTCTCATGATATAGAATGATACAGTTAATTCGAGCCATACTAGCAACTCAGCGTTCACCCGGAGAACTTCGACAAGCTTCAGGTTGAACTCGGTGCAGGCTAGCATCTCGCGGTGAGTCTTCTGGCGACTTGGTAACGAACGATCCCCTCAGGAGTCGTAGGTTCAGGCGTAAGGGTGAGGTAGAGGTTAGGAACGGGCAGGAGTCCTCCCGTATGCCTCTTCCAATCGCCTTGTTTGAGCTGCCAATACCGGATGCCTCCGCTTCGAGTCGTTCTGCACGAATGGCTCAAATGCTATTCAATGACGCTTTGAGGCACACCTCATAGCTTGTTGTGCATCCCATCGTGAGTACCTGACTTACTGCTGTTTTGAGTGTATAAGTTCCGGAGACCAGAGACATGGCAAAAGAATTCCATCACGGGGAGTGATGACTCCGATACAGTGCTCAGCATAGCACAGTGAGGTACGTCTCCCTTCTTTCAGGGCGACGTTCCATTCTGTGCATAGGCTCAAATATACGGGCCTGCTCATCGGCTGTACGTGGCAGGCATTGTCCCGCACGTTGACTATGCTATCTGATGATGACGATAGGAACTTGTAGGACCTCTTCGAAACTGGCCAGATTTACCTGTGTCTCCACTAAACTCAGGTTTCAGTGTTGCACTGGAAATGTCCGATTGGCGAAGGTTCTGTCTGGAAGCGTCACTGTCAGACATATACATCTAAAACTACCGGCTCTATTGACGTCATAAGACCCTTTTGGTATCCGTGAGTTTGTTTCCTGCCTCAAAGTCCGCGACGGATACTTCACATAGGTGTACTGAATTTCATTGAGCCTTGGATGCATACAGAGTTGTAAAGCGAAGGGCTATGGAGATACAGGAACGTGTGTACGTCCAGTAGTAGGTGTCTCGTACCCTTCGTGTATGCAGTGACTTAATCAGTTCCATGTCCGCCGGCTAGGTGTCACGCCGGATGGCTGATTGCAACCGAAGTCAGACGTCAATGAGTATTTCACTTCGTCATCCATTTTCTACATCCTCAAGAAGATCGTCGAGAAGCTACAGCGGTGCACTTCCTCTGGCAGGCCTATATTCTTAAGGCCTTATAATCGCTCTCCATATCCCCTCCACCCTCTGCACCAAGCAATGTTACCCTCTCATTCAGAGCCTTCAGCACCTCCGGGAACAGAGATCAATGACCTCGCACTGAGCATCACACGATGGTGTGCAGGGAGCCTCGCGAACGCCACGCTCCAGATCGGCTTGTCGTGTTTTCTACATGGTGAGTGATTTTTGTAAAGCCTTGAACTATGTGAATTGAACGAATCTCAGGAACCCTCACTTCGATGGTCATGGTCGCAACGTTTCTCCTCCTGTGCGTCAACTCCCCCCTTCACTGAATTTCTTTATTACTTCTGACTGGGAATCCAGGCGCAAGGGCTTACAAAACATATCTGTGCAAATTTTATTCCCGAGCACCCTGCTCTTGTACATGTCCACGACCTTATACATGGTAGCCGAGATCTGGTATATCTACAGCTTACACCTAATGGCCTCTGGATCAGCTGATGGAATAAAATCGGCATCCTACGGAACCAGCGGCTTGGTCGCATTCGAGGCAGCCCTCCATAAACAATCTTGGATGTTCACTTCAGCAGTTGGCGTGAATGTGTGTGTGTGTGTCATTGGCCTCTTCAAATCGTCTCCTCATCGACTATATACGTTTTCAGGTCATCCTAGGGGACGGAATCGTCTGGTGGCGAGCATGCGTTCTCTGGAATCATCGGATCGTCTACTATCTTGGACCTATCCTGCTCCTAGCTATGCTTGGTAAGCCGGCGGACTATCTCAGCCACACTCTCCCGAAAAGGCTGACGTTTCGTAGCGTTTGGCTTGCTTGCAATCCACTTCACACCACATCGACAACTCAGCAACCCGGTGTTCCTCCTGAGGGGGAACCGGATGGGCGACGTGGCTGTGATGCTTTCGCTCACCACAAACGTGATCGCGACGTCGCTCATCGCAATCAAAGCATTGTCAGTTCCTACTCAGCATCGACAATGTCTCATATTCTCAGCTGACGACCCATTTATTGTCCGGCAACGCAGACAGCACAGACGGCTATTACAGGAACACCTCGGTGAGGGTTACCCCAGTCGGACGCGTGTCTGGCGAGCTCTGGCGCTGCTCGTTGAGTCCGGTATGATCTACTGCGCGCTACTGGTAGGACAATACCATCTTTGCGTACTTCTGTTTTCAGTCCCGTTCTGACACGCTCCTTCAGTTGGCGGCTGTCATCGACCAGATAGATCAGCCAACCGGGCCAGCAGGCCCTACAGAGCCTGATAGCTTATTCCAGAACATCATTACCTTTTTTACGTACGGCTGTTTCGTACATATCGTGGTGAGTATAGAGCGAGCTCTCGTCCGCCTCGCATCTTCCTGACTGCTACTGTTTCCTGAGGCTATCTACCCCGTCCTCATCATCGTTTTAGTGGCAATGCAACGATCGCCAATCGACGCAGGAATCACTCAGTATCTGCACCTTGCCGCAGACCCGTCTGGGACTGAACGTAATGGCGAGAGGACAAGCACCCTCGTGTTTGGACCTGCTGAACCTGGGCTATCTACATTCCACAATTCAATGCCTGACACCATCATAGAGCTTCAAGCAAGATCCAAACCCCAGAGCGATGGACAGATTGAAGAATGTGCTACATTCGATATGGGTTGGGATCAGGGGGCAGCAGCATGAGACATCGTCTGAGCAGTGTAGTGAGGTTTGGCGGCTCTGACTCATCGCATCACAGTCTTCACGATAGATCATCATTAGCATATATAACATCGTACAAAGCTCCATTACTTGTCAGGTCGCCCTGGTGAAAGGATCATGTCCACATTCGGTCTACCCCCTCCTCGGCGATGACGGCGAGGCTTTCGTTACTCGATTCCTTCCAAGTGCCTCCGGCCTCCAGAGTCCACCCCACCAGACGACCGAGCTGGTAAGATTCTACCCAGAACCTCTGCAACGCCGGGGGCGTACTGTGGCAATTGATGAACGCCTGCGCGGAGAGCACGGTTTGTCTCCAGACAGTCGCAGCCGTCTGCTGGCGGATAGGCCACTGGATCTGTACCAACAAGTACGAGATGGAGGTTCCATTCAGCCCATCGCCAAGCTTTCTCTGTCGACAGGAATGGATCTACGTGAGCAGACGGTACGCCATCAAACCCCATATGCAGCAAAGCGCTCACAAAGTCGATGTGTGGCGTCTTGCTCAACGACATCGCGAGGACGAGACGCGTGGTTGCACGGAGACTGCTCTAATGGCCTGAAAAGAGCTTCCGACATCCTTAGCAACTGACTCTCCAGCACGCGCACGCCCAAGCAGCGCGGGCGGCTATCCGCGAGTGCTTGGCTGATCTCCTCAGGGCACCGTTGAGCACCCGGTGTCCACAATTGTGTTAGAGTTCACGAGTTCACGCTTCACGCATCAGGCGCTGTAGGCCGGCATCTCCCGTTCACACTATACTAGCACCCGTCACATAACCAACGTCCCTCACTCGTTCCATCATCTCCCCGAGTGAGGGTACGTCGTCTCTCGCGTTACCCACATACTCACCGTACTCACTATGTCCTGTAGCGCCTCATACTTTGGGCTACAGGTAATGAAACTCACTCGTTCCATCATCTCCCCGAGTGAGGCGCCTCATACTTTGGGCTACAGAATTTAACAGGTTATGAGCCCCTGCGCCTGAAGTTCCTGCCAGGCCTCTGTAGTCACCCCTTTTTGCGACCCCTCGCCTTCTCTCGAGTCACCCTAGTCTCAGGATCACTCTTTTTACCGCCGCTACGATCCCGGCCGGCGTTTTGTGGCGCATATACCACTGTATCGTTATTGCGGTGCGCATATAGCCACCCGTTTTTTTTTGCATTATGACTGGATCAGA